AGTGCATTTGCGTGGCAACGTTGCCAACTCTTGCAGTTCCACCATGCGTCTGGTGATCTTTGGTGTTTCAGTCTGATGGTTTCATGAGGGATTCAGCTTCATTTTAAACAAAAAACAACAACGACTAGGCTCATGGTTGCCCAGCAAAGCTTGAAAACATGGCCCAAGAGCCCCCCGAAGCTCAAACCGCACAGTGCAGAGAGAAAGACGCGCGCACTCATTTATTGTTTTCCGTCGCATGACTTTGCAATGCGCGAGGTTGGCAAAGGCCGCGCCCAGACTGGACGGCTGCATTGCCGTCTATGTGGGGCGATCCCTGAAAACCTCTCTGAAATTTTAGCCGAGGCAGAATGGGGCTGTTCAGCGGTTGCCTGCTCCTTCAACCCTTACGCGTGGCGAGTCCCTCTGGTGTGTGCGCTCTCCTGAAAGCACTATTCGCCACAAGGCAAACTGGGCAGAACAGGCTCTTTGTGTAGCGCTTCCGCACTACATCGGCCACCCGTTTGCCCCAGATGTTACTCAGGGGGTCGGAGGCGGTGTAGAAAAGCCCGACCGGCTTGGGCTCTGAATGCTGTTCCTTTGAGACCTCCTCGCTCCGGGGAGGAAACAGCTTCGCTTTTAAAAAGACGCAGCGCGGGTGGCAGAGTGACATCACTGGAGAATTCCCGCCAAGGACACGCCACGCCACGCCAGGCCAGGCCAGCTGCTCGTCCAGCATCCATGGAAAGCGTGGGTGGGGCAAGGTAGCACAAGGAAGAGTCTGAGCTTCGGTGGGTGATGAGCATGTACATGGGCGGCAGGTATAATGGGCGGGGGAAGGGATTGCTTTCCCAAACTGCCAGCCTGGCTCCGCCCACACTCCTCCCCCAGAATGCCTACTGTAGGTGTACTGGGGGTGGAGTGTTGCTGCCCCCAAGTGCCTGCCCTCCATGTGCTCCGGCGTCAGAGAGGCTGGAGCTGTGGTGCCCTTTTGCCTCCCCGTGATGCTGGGGGAGGGGCAGCTTGGCTCCTGTAGGAGGCGGGGCCTGGGCAGAAGGGCAGAAGTGTGAAATGCCAGGCCCGCTGGCCAGACTGAGCCTCACGCTGGATTCGTGGGACACACGGAGATTGCACAGTGTGTTCGAAAGTGGTTCTACTGTGACTAGGTGTCCAAGGAAAAAGCCACCACAAAACCCTTCCTTGTACTGCGAGCTGGCAAACGAGGTGAGCTTTGGAAGCCATGACTGCCACGGCCTGCCCCCGACACAGCAAAGCCTCGTAGAATCCTAGAGCCTAGGACGGGCAGAGACCTTACGCGGTCACCGAGTCCAGCCCCCTGCCCAAAGCAGGACCAGCCCCAACTAAACCATCCCAGCCCCCTCCTGGGTGGAATGCTGGCGTTGCACCTACGGTTCTTGGAGGGCTGCATGCACCACCATGCCCTCCCAACTGGAGACAGGATTGGCATCTGCAGCCAACACATGACGAATCCCATTTCCTGGTACTACTTCCTTGAGCCCCCACTTCCTGTTTTGGCTTGGAAAAAGAAATATATCCACACACTGTTGCCATGGACATTATAAAGGGATAAGCGCTTCTAGCGCTGAGAAAACAAAACGGACCAGAAGATAAGAGTCAAACCCTGCAGTTCTAAATCACCCTTAATTTACAGCAGAGAGGAGCCGTGCCTGAATTAGTACGGAAGGACAGATGGATTTTGCTCCATGTATTCAACAACTCAGGAGAAATAGGGACAGAGGGACAATATTCCATGTTCGCTGAGCTCAGGAGTAATCTTTGAGAGCTGGAAAGCATCCAACGTAATGCAATTATTTAATCGAGAACCGAGGGACACATCAGGAAATTACAAACGGCAGTTATGGGTTAGATGAAAGACAGCAGCCCCGCTAGAATGCGAAGGGTTCTCTGGATTTACCCTGTTTTGCAGCGGGCCCTGAAGGAGGCAGGTGGGCTGGTGCAGAAGGGTGGATGGGCTGTGGGCAGTGCCGTGTCTCTGCCCCCTTGCTGCAGTCCTGCCCCACAGAGCACAGCTACTGCTATTGGCCAGAGGCCTTTCCGTACCTGTGCAAGGCTTATCTCATACGGGAGGCCAGATTAGATGATCGTGATGGTCCCTTCTGGCTTTGGAATCTGACGTTACGCTTCTGCTCCGCCCTCTGCCCTAGTGCAGGCATCCAGGAGTTGGACAGAATTTTCTCCACACTGAAAAATTGTTAAAATAAAGTTAACGTTGCTTATGGACAACACGTATGCCCCCAAACTAGTACAAGGAAAGAACTGAGTGGGGAGGGACCTTTCTCTGACATATTTCAGCCACATGCAACACATTCACGCCAGGGATGTAAAATCCCGTTTCATTAGTTAACCAGTAAAACATGATCTTTAACTGATTCAAGGGGGGGCGGGGCTGCTCTGACCAAGTTGGAAAGCGCCTGGCAGCAGCACACCCAGACTGGGCCCTTAACCATAACCAGTAAGCATCACCCATTAAGCCATGAGACTTACCGGTTAACTGGTTAAGCATTCACATCCCTAGTTCGCACTCGTATTAACAGACTCCACCTCTCAGTCAGTCAGTCCCATGCAGCCGAACACAACACGTGTCCACTCCTCCGATCTCGCACTCTGGTTAAGCCGAGGGGTACACTACACGCACTACCGCATCAAAGCTGTAACGCTGCAGAGCAGTGGTTCCCCAACTTTTCAGCCTGTGGCCCACCCCATTTAAGGCAAATCTCTCAGCCGACCACCAGCTGCAAATGGAAACTCGCCGTCAATTACATATTTGTGTCCGAGCCATTTTGCTAGGGCTGCAGCTAGGGAGAACGGTTCAATTTAACAAGTAAGAAAGGCAATAGTAATTGAAATGATTAACCAGATTAAGTGAGTTAGCTTTCTCATGTTAGTTTACCAAACTTCATTTTAAATAAAGTAAAAGATTAATTTATGTCCAACAGAAAGTTTCAACATTGTCTTTCTTTACAATGGGGGGGGGAGGGGAACCTTTTGTAGGTCAGGGGCCACTGACCCACAGAAAAATCAGTTGGGGACCCTTGCAAAAAACCCCTTAAATCTCCAGCCCTCACTGATATGGCCCCCATCTAAGACACCTCACTCCCCTCGCACTCCGGCTCCACAGGGGAGAGGGGCAGAGGAGGGGCAGGGAGGACTGAGGTTCGGGGCTTCCCGTAGGCCAAATGAACACTTCTGGGGTTGGTGGATTTTGTGGACCCCTCTCCCCCCCCGCTGGCTCTGGGGTGGAACAAAAAAATGAGGGGTTCAGTGTGCAGAACGGGGCTTCCAGTGACTGGGATAGGGATGGGGGAGCCGGATCTAGATGGGAAGTGAGGCTCAGAAGGGGGTAGGGTGAGAGGGAGGGTGCAGGAGCAGGCTGGGAGTAGGGTGTCTGGCCACGGGGAAGGGAGCAGGAGCAAAGAAGGGTGCAGGAGTGGGCTGGGGGTGCAAGGTCTCTGCGGGGTGTGTGTGTGAGGGGTTGGGGGTGCGAGATCTGGGCATGAGGGGCGGGGGCACTTACCTGCCTTTACATCCCCGGCCGTTCCCAGGCATGGCCTTCCGCTGCTCCCATTGGCTGGACACTGCAAGTTTATTTTGAAATAAGCTATTCTGGAAGAAATACTCCGAAATAGCTTATTTCGAAATAGCACGTCTACACTACAGGGAAGCCTCCAAATTAGTCCCAGGCAGGCTGGGTGTGCTACCTCGATTTAGAGCTCCTGGGGGCACTGGAGAGTAATTCTTCTAAATCGCCTTGGGGAGGAGAGATTTTGAAATAGCAGCGATGGAGAATCCACACGACTGCTATTCTGAAAAGGCTATTTCAGAAGAGGCGTTATTCCTCACAGAAGTCGGAATAAGCCGCCCATTATTTTGAATTTATTTTGAAATAATGGAATTGCAGTGTAGACGCTCGCATTGTCATTTCGGAATAACGGCCGCTCTTCTGAAATAATGCTGCTGTGTAGATGCACCCTTAGGTGCCAAAATCATTTTTTGTGAGGCCCCTGTGAATGCCCCACCAGCAACTGAGGCGAGAGGGGGAAGGAGGCTGAGGCCTACTATGTCGCCTTTAGCCTAGTGGTTGGGGCCTCTCCTGTGTCTGCGGGGAAGGAGGGGGCCCGGCTCCCATTTCAGCATGGCAAAGCCATTACTAAGGCGGGATGTGCTCGAGCTCTATAAACCACGTGGAGAAGCGAATAAGGAGGTGTCAGTCACCCTGTCACATAACACAAGAGTCAGGGCAACCTGAGGACATGAAGAGGTAGCAGGTGTAAACCCACCCACAGGTGGTCCGTCTTCCTGGAAGGCCCAGGCAGCATGTGGCCTTCCTTGCTAGTCGACGGCACGAAGGCCAGCCACCATGTTGTTTTCTAAAGAGGAAAGCAGATGGAGACCTGCCCACTTCTCCTATCTCTGCCAGCAGCTAGTCCTGGGAACACAGGGCTCACAAAAGCCTACAGGGAGTGGGGTTTTGTGCTGTCCCCACATTCCCGTATGGGATGGGAGTTTGACTTGCTTTCTCTCCTTCAGGGTTTGCTCTCCAAGGTGTTGTCCACACTCAGGGGTTCTTTCGAAAAAAGTACCCTTTTTTCAAAAGAACTTCCCCTGCGTCCAGACTCAAGCCGCGTTCTTTCGAAATTATTTCGAAAGAACGCGGCTTTTCTTTCGATGGTGGTAAACCTCGTTTCACGAGGAAGAACGCCTTCTTTCAAAAGTTCCTCTTTCGAAAGAAGGCGTTCTACAATGTAAAGAGGCCGTCTTCGAAAGAGAGCATCCAGACTCGCTGGGTGCTCTCTTTCGAAAAAGAGGATTTCCTCTATCGAAAGATCCGCCTGCTGTCTAGACGCGATCTTTCGAAAGAGGCTCTTTCGAAAGATGCTTTCGAAAGAAGCTCTTTCGAAAGAAGCCTGCAGTCTAGACACAGCCCAAGTGTCTGCCTGAAGAGCTACTCAATAACCCACTTGTACTTTTTCTGCAAACAGGGCTTGGATCACCCGACTCCTCCCTAAACTCACGTTACTCCAAAGCATGGGATGTTTTCCGTGAACAACAAAACCCTCTGAGGTGAGGCCAGAGAGGAGCCGCACAGACAGCCATGGATTCCAACAAACAAGAAGGTAACGTGCACACGGTGACAGAGGTTAACAGTCAAAAATAAAGCCTTTCCCGCCAGAGAAATCCCTCCCTTTACAAAGGGCTAACCCAACCCAGCTTTGTTAGAGATGCCTTTTGGAAGGAGCACCACTCCTTCTGCAGTCAGTGGTAAATCTGCAGTTCAGACCAGCGCTGTGGCATAGATCCCATAAAGGTATTTAGGCACCTAACTTTCATTGATTTCAGTAGTCGTTTGTAGGAGAAAGTCAGAGCTTGAAGCATGGGCCTGATGCTTGAACTAAAATCAGCAAGAGTTATACTAGTATAAGTAATAGACAGGCTATGTCAAAAGCAAATGTTTGCCTGCAAGACAACGTCTCTCAGCACTAGAACTGCTAGCATTGCTAAAAGCCCACGAAGTACGTAAATACATTCCACCAGGACTGTATGAGTCAACAGGGTGCCCTTATTAGCCTAGAAAGCTAATGGCATATCAGGGTGCATTAGGCAGAGCATTGCCAGCAGATCTAGAGAAGTGATTATTCCCCTTTATTCAGCACTGGTGAGGCCACATCTGGAATATTGCCCATAATTCTGGGGCCCCCCACTATAGAAAGGATGTGGACTCATTGGAGAGGGCTGAGCAGAGGGCAACCAAAATGATTCAGGGGCTGGAGCACATGACCTATGAGGAGAGGCTGAGGGATTTGGGTTTGTTTAGTCTGCGGAAGAGAAGAGTGAGGGGGGATTTGATAGCAGCCTTCAGCTTCCTGAAGGGGGAGGTTCCAAAGAGGCTGGAGAGAGGCTGTTCACAGTAGTGACAGATGGCAGAAAAGGAGCAATGGTCTCAAGTTACAGTGGGGGAGGTCTAGGGTGGATATTAGGAAAAACTATTTCCCTAGGAAGGTTGGGAAGCACTGGAATGGGTCACCTAGGGAAATGGTTGAATCTCCATCTCTAGAGGTGTTTAAGTCCTGACTTGAGAAAGCCTTGGCTGGGATAATTTAGTTGGGATTGGTCCTGCTAGACTTGATGACCAGCTGAGGTCTCTTCCAGCCCTAGGATTTTATGATTGTAGGACAGCCAAGTCAGGAAATAATAAAATAGTTTGAAACAACAAGAGTAAAAGCATAACAACGGGCAGCAGCTGCTTTGGAGGAAAGTCCAAAGGGAGGTGTCAAACGTGTCAATGCGTAAGATGATATGTCCAGTGTGTATCATAGATTGTTCATTTCTGTCTATAATATTGGCGTACCTCGACTTAATTCTTTGGCCGGCCTATGAGGCGATATTAAAATCCATACTATCAACTGAGCTGTATCCATTGTCCCGGGTACAAATACGTAGGGGCGCAGAGGCCATCTGGCTACTGATAACTATTAATGTGCTTCGTTTGACAGTAAATCTAACTCGGGCGCCTTCATATCTTATCTGAGTCTGTGGAGGCTCTCATGAAGTCTATTGTGCTAGCTCCCTGCGCAGAGCTGGCATGATATACTGAGGGAGCCTACGAAATCGCAAGCAGCCCAACATTTATAATCACTGACAGAGCAGGAGACCTGTCAGGACACCTCTCCAGGGAATCCTGAATGTACTGTATCGCTGTCCTGAACTACTAAAGCATCAAGAACCTAAATCTCTTTGAGGCTAGGTAGAAAATCCCACTCCTTTCATCTAGAAACCAAAAGTGTCTTATTCTAATCTGGAGAAGAAAAAACAAAACAAAACAGGAAGCAAGTAGCTTGGTCTACACTTGACCATGCAAATTGGCTTAAAGTACACCATCCAGCTAGGCAAAATGCATTGCTGGATTCAGCTTACCTTAAGCTGAGCCGCCGCGGCATCTACATGGCGGGAGGCGCTCCTTTCACCTTCTGTTATTCCTCACAGAACAAGGAGTACAGGATGCTGGTGGGGGCTGCCCTCCGGGTTCGATTTGGGGGTCTACACTAGACCCACTAAATCGAACGCTAGACTGACCTCTGGAGGATCGATCTTCTCCACAGTGTGGACGTAACTGTAGGGAGAACTATTCTGTTGCCTTGCCAATTCGTTAAATAGCAAAAGCTAATCACAACTGTAGTACCTATTTTAAAAAGTGTTTCTGTGCAGAAATTAGGAGCTCAAAGGAGACCTGCAAGGGATCCCTCTCTGGCCCATTCTCTGCATTGCAGATCATTTCAATGGAGAATCTGACAGTGAATTGTGAATTACCTCCCCGGGGAAAAGGTGATTTTGTAGCAGATAGGTCTTAGGCCCCAAGTCTGCAAGGTACTTAAGCACGTGCCTATCTTTAAGCGCTGGCTGCTTGGGGCATGTGCTAAGGACCTCGCAGAATTGGGGCTTCATTCATTCAGTACGTATTCCTCCCAGCATGCTGTTCAAACCCTGCAGGGAGGGGGTGGAAGGGAACACAAACCTGCCTTTTGGGAAAGATGGGGTTAGATCGGACAGTTCCTTCCCTTGCCAAACTCCGTTCCGCGCACAGAGCCATGCATGGGGAGGGCCTCACTCCACAGCTTTGGCATTTCGAACAGGCCCACTTGAGCTGTTTGCTACCCTAGGCAAGCTAGGCAGCTGCCTAGGGCGCCGCTGGCCCAGGTGCCCAATAATGACATCCCAGGGCGCCCGATGATGATGTCACAGCCATTGACAGCCATTCAGGCAGGGGCGCAGATTGCGCTGCCCCGCCTAGGATGTCAGCTGCTGTAGCCGGCCTTGGGCTGCTCCTGGCTACCAGTGCCCAAGCAGCACTACAACATCATGGCCTGCAGCAGGGATCTCAAACCTCACTGCACCGTGACTCTCTGACAACCAACATTGCTACACGACCCCAGGAGCGGGGGAAGGGGGGCCCAAAGCCTGAGCCTGCTCCAGCCCTGCTGCCCTGGTTCTGGCTTTAGCCCTGGGACTTGGGCTTTGGCCCTGGGCCCCAGCAAGTCCGAGCCGGCCCTGGTGACTCCATTCAAATGAGGTCGCCACCCACTTTGGGGTTACAGCCCAGCGTGTGAGAACCGCTGGCCCACAGAGATCCTCTCTCGGAGGGGAGGTCTTTCCTAGGAGAGACAAGGCTCCAAGCCTTTCGGGGGGTTGAAAATCCCAAGTTAGTTTGCCCAAAAGGGTTGATACGAGTGTTCTGATTCTGGTTTGTGCCCCGGCACCTAGGCATGTACTTAGTTCTGTGCATACGGGTTGTCCCTTGCAGCGAACAGGACTTCTCTTGTACAGCGAGTGACGCCCATGCTGAGGTGGCTGCAGGTTCAGGATTTCAGCTTTCACTGGCCTGCCTGAATTCTTCCCGCAGCTTCGTCTGGTCACAGCATCGACCACTTCCCACCCTCACGGCTGGGACACATCGCAGGGCCCGTGGGGGGGGGCGGGGGGGGATGTCACCGCTGACGCTAACGGCTTGGAGCTCTGAGGGTGACGGGTGCCAGGAAAAGCTGAAGTGTTTAAGGATCAGTTAGTTCTGCGGCTGCGCAAGTCTGAGCCATGGACAAGAGCCAGTCTCTGAGCTTACAGCCTCCGTCCTTTCTGAGAAAAGTCACACGCGGGCGGAGTAAAAGGGTTTGAAAGGAAGGGCAGAAATGAGGGCAGAGTACATTTCTATCTTCTCCTCCAGAATACGGGCTATATAGCCACAGGTAAATTCAATTAAGAACGGGAACAATGGGGTTATTTTTGAAATTAGTTTTACTAAATTAGCTCTGTGCACTTCAGCCCCATGCATTCCAGCCAGCTGAAATGAAATTACCTCCAGGGTGCCTTCAATTAGTGGCTATCCCCCACAGGCTGCTGGGGTTCATTGGGCGTCCCAGCAGACACCGAGACGGTAACCCAAGAATCTAGCTGTCCCCAGCTGTGTGTTAGCGTGCCCTGCCCTGCCCTGTGCATGGGGCACATTCACAGGGGCAAGTGGCGAGTTCAGCGGGCCCCCACCAACCTGAAAGAGGAGCTGCTGCGGGGTTTCATTGGGCGTCCCAGCAGACACTGAGACGGTAACCCAAGAATCTAGCTGTCCCCAGCTGTGTGTTAGCGTGCCCTGCCCTGCCCTGTGCATGGGGCACATTCACAGGGGCAAGTGGCGAGTTCAGCGGGCCCCCACCAACCTGAAAGAGGAGCTGTGCTCCAGACAGCGCCATGCAAGGGAGGGCGCGAGAAGCCCTTCCTCATCTGCCCTAGCAGCAAGAGAATCTGATGTAGTCAGCGCTCGGTCCATGCGAGCCTGATCCACACCCACTGGAGCTGACGGGGCTGCCCCCGAGGGAGTGTTGTGGAGTTCCACCAGGAGTAAAGAGCGACAGCCCCCACCGTCGAGGGTGGGCTTTTGAGTGGGTTCCCTGCATAACTAACCAGCCTGAGAAAACACATCCCAGGGGGCAGAGGAGGAGGGAAGCCAGGCCCCTTCCTCTCCCATGTCCGCACTGGCCTGTGGGAGTGGGCAGGTGTTCCGCAGAGTGAGGGGTGCCTTCGGCCACACCCCTCTTCTGAGCACTCCCCATCCAGAAGCAATTCCCTCCCGCCCTTGGCATTAAGACTTCAGAGACGTGACCAGGTCTGTCCCCATCAGCTTCTGGATCCAGCATTCCTAAATACAAAACCACTGGCTCCAAAGAGGGGTTCCCCTCCCAGGTTATATCCACAGGGGAGTTCCAACAGCAGCCGAGCCCTTTCTCCCTTATTCACACTCATGGCTCCCCCCTGCTGCATCCACCAGCAGAGAAGCCGTCCCTGCTTTCCTTCAGAGCAATTGTATGTGCCATTGGGCTCCCAGCTTAATTTCCCTATTGTCTGTTTTAAGCTGAAGTCATTAAAATCAGTCTGCACTGGGGCCTATTTTAGTAGATTAATATTATAATTTACATATCATGGATTATAGGGTCACCAGTTAATCTGATCAGAAGATAACATGGGTCTTGTCCCAGAATCAGGCTACACAAAGTTTTGCAAGGATCCTCGGGACGTGTGACAAGGACACCCCCCGAGAACAGAAATACAGCCGTAAAGACGTGTATTGAGACAA